CTAAATCCCACGTCTGACCGCAAACTAGGGAGACACATTCAAGCAAGCCAGAAAAGGGCAATTGCAAAGAGGGCAGCAAAGATAGCAAAGAAACCTGCGGGCTGCTGCAGCTCTCAAGAAGCCCAGAGCTTTTTGTCAGTAATTCAGCACATACCTGACCAAAAAAAAAAAAAAAAAGAAAAAAAAAAAAAGAAAGGGAAAAGTCGCCCAACTGGTTTTGTTGTTTCAGCTGTGCGAGCCGGGAAGCAAACAAAGCTGCCGCGTGGCAATGGCGCTTCGGCTGTGACCATATTTTCGAGTAAATATTTAGAAATGATGATGCCCCTTCAGCAAGGAGCAGCCAAGGCGTTTTATATTGAGCAGATTGGTAGTGGTGGTCAGAAAAGTTACGTTGCTATTTCTCCCAAGGAGGGAAAAAGCTGCCTCGGGTTTAGCAACCAGCCCAGGTGCAGCAGGGAGGTCCTGTGCCCCGCTTTGGAACTTGTCACTGACGAGGAGAAGTCCCTCTTCTGGCTTTAGCATTTGCCCAGATCGATGCCTTCTGATATCAGAGCTTCCCAGTCTCGATGCAATTTGCAGTAAATGCAGATTTTTTTGTTGTTGTTTTTGACTTCAGGAAGTGGCTGCCAGGCACCCAGATTCTTTCTGCTCCAATGATATAAATAAGCACAAAAGGAAGTCAGGTCAAACTTTAATGTCCTGCTTTGTCCTCCAAACTGCCATGAAGAAGAATAAAGTTTGGAATCCTTTTGCTGCAGGGTTCAGGATGAAGTTAGCAGAAATAACTAATGTATCTCAGTTATTTTTTCCTCTTAGTTATTTTTTCCCCTCCTCTATACCTACAAAAAATCTCCAAGTAACTGCTAATCGCCCCAAATGCAGCATTCAGGAGAAGCGGCAGGTTTTATTGTGAGAGGGCGACTTCAAAGTGATTGCAGGACCGTGATTACCCCAGTGCAATTCTTTGCAGCAGCTGTTCCATGTTAAATTGCCCAAACAGTGCCACAGAGGCAGTGTGGCAGATCCTGCAGAAGTGCATGCAAACTTATTCCCACAAACACTTGCCAAACATGCAGCCATTCGTGTTCCAGTAAAACTAGCAGAAATTAACTGAACATGGAAAAAAAAAAAAAAAAACCTTCTGAAAGCTGTGATTACCAGACAGCGTGGAGACAGCTTATCTCTTTGATCAAAAGATACTGGGTTTAAATCACAGGTAAACAGGCTTTTGAAGTGTACAAGAGTATTTAAACTGTAAGCGCCAACATAAATTTTTTTTTTTACCCATTTTAATCAGGAAAAGCGAGCATTTGGAATTAGAGGGAAAGCGCCTTTAACAAGGTTTCCAAGTTGTCCTGCTGGATTATAATATGCACACCACACCCTTCCTAGCTAGTCACCAGAAAAATAAAAATTAAGTACTTGTGACTGTGTAGAGAAGTTTTATAGGCGTGCCAGCAAAAATCTAGGAGTGGCTTGATTGGTATTTATTTAGTCCAGTTATTCAGTTGCTGAGATTAACACATATGTGCAGATCTTTATGTAGTTCCCGATACTATTTTGGAACCTATTGCTTAGATTCCTGCAGAGGCAGCTACTCTTTATAGCGCCAGAGTGGTCTGGCACAAACGGGAATTTGTAACGATTGGTATCACTTAAAGCAAGGTTTTTAGTTAGGTACCTCTTGACATTCCTCCCTAAGCATCATTTTTAGAACCACTTTGGTTATAATTAACAGGGCAATTCCTGGGAGAAGCAAAACCTAAATTTGATTACACTTTGGAACAGCCTTTTATATGCATACATATATGCAGGACTATTGAAACCTTATATCTTTGTTTATCTGCTTTGAGGAAACCTGGTTCCTTTGAATTAATGTGGTGGGGCCTCATGCGTATTGTTAAGCTGCAAATAAGTAGGAGTGCTTTGTTTTTAAAGCCCACTCCAAACAAGCTTTCTATTTTGATAGCCTTTTGCATCTTTCCCTGTAAATGAAATATGTCAGCCTCCTATGGAGCCTTTCTTGACCACAAGGGAAATAATTATGACCCTTGCTGAGTTGGGACAGTGGCATCATATAAACCAGAACCAGAAGAAAAAAAAAAAAAAGAAAAAAAAGAAAAGGATTAGAAAATTCTTAAATTCACTATATTTTCTTCTTGGGCAACTGAATAGACACAATACTATATCTTCATCTTAACCGACATTTTATGTAAACACCAGATATTTTACTATAAACTAATGTGGGTGCTGCTCTGTCAGTGTTAATTTTCTACTGTGGTCAATAATACATCAATGGTAGATTGAATATTATATATGACCCTCTCAATAGCAGGATCAAGAATGTCATACAGTGGATCAGATAGTGACTATATTGCTAATATTTCCTAAGGTGGACCCTTGACTTCCAAACATGGCCAGGGTTATGTCATCCCTTCGTTTTCTTTGTTTACAGTTACTGTCCTTGACATTAGTCTCCAATCCATTTATTTGCTTCAAAGAAGGGTCCCTTTGCCAGATATTCACACAAACATTTGGATGTGTTTGCCCTCTGTACATGCTACAAAACTCCCACCTATTGTTGCAGCTGGTTTTCTCTCTCCTTCCCTCCCTTACTGCCTTCTACTGTTACAGATTTGGTTGTTCGGGGTTTATTTTTTCCCCTTTCTTCCTTTAAACCTATGCATAGAGAAGTTAACCATCTTCTAAGGGCTCGGGGAGGGGGGGTGAATTTGCTTTGTTGGGGGATTAGGAAGGATTGTGTCCTTCAGTAACTGAAGCTTGAGGTCAGATTGTATGGGGTGCAGTCGCAATTTGTCTGTGGTGATGAATTTTCATTAATATCTGAAACAACGTGCCTGTTAGCAACAAAACCACTTCCTTTGTATCACTGGCTTATGAAAAAAATACCTGGGTCTCTGTATTATTATCTGCCAACCTTTTAAAATCTGCACTTACTGAAGAAAAATCAGCAGAACATCTGAAACCATAAGCTCAGTGCTCAGCTGGCTAGGGGACTTAATATTTGGTAGGTTAATTTCTTATTATATTTTTTGAATTTCTCAAAGTTAACTAACTTTATCATTCCTTTTTGTCTGGACTTAGTGGGCTGCATTACAGGGAAAAAGTGTACAAAAAGATAAAAAAATAAATCTAGCATTTTTAGGCAAGCAGACAACAGCTAGAAGTCTGATGTTAAAGTATTTTGGAGAAAGATATTTAAATCTGCAACATGTGATATAATAATAAGTTATTCTCATAGTGAATGAAATGAAATAGACCTGATCCTACTAAAGTCATGGGAAGGGAAAAGTTATTTTTACCTCAGAACATTTTTGCATTCCTGAAAATGACCTCAGACAAGTCTGAGGACATTTCACTGCTTTCTAAGATGATGACGAGATAAGAGGACAAGACCGCGCTTYTGATTGCCTGTTAAGATCATTTGGTTCTGTTCTGACTACAACAATTAAGTAAATGGGTGCTCATACTGAAAATGTTGAAAGTGAGAGACTGTTGAAGGTTAATCACAAAACCTCTAGCTGAAGTCATACCACAGCAAAATTCTCCCATCCAAGCTGCAGGGAAAGATTTCCTTTTCAGTTCCCACTGTCTTCTGAAAAGGCCAAGTAGCAGAAGATGAATATGAAAGGCAAAAGCAAGAACTCAGAAATTTACCCTTTAGACACAAGTGCGTTTTGGACCAAAAATAAACACTGAACTGTCATCACAGCCTCACCTCTTTTTCCCCCCTGCGAATGATGTGGTATATACACCGCCAACTTCTTTGTAAAACACTTAGAAGCCTCTTTTCTAGCTGATGGGCTAGAATATTTCTTGCAAGAGAAGTTTCTCGGTGTATTTTTAATGTGGAGACAGATCGATTTGATCCTGATGTGAACAGACACTAACTTCCAGCAGCTTCTTGGCATTGATTTTAAATATTAAGCCAGTTATCACTTGTGACTGATCTTTACTTGAACAGCACAAATTGTTTCGGTGAGGCAGCCCTCATGAGTAACATTTTTATGGATAAAAAATGCTGTTCTTAGTACAGTACAACATGTCCAGGAGGAGACGTTGCACTTTATACATCTCCCAAATATTTGAATTACAATAATAAATATTACAATGTTAAACAACCTTTTTTTTTATGTTATACAAATACAGGAGTAAAGCTTACAGCTTGGTATATATGCATGCCCTTCTGCAAATGTATGCATTTCATTTGGTGTGTAAGTATATGCATATGTATATTTACATGCACTTCATTTAAAAGGAATGTGTTGATCTCATGAAGCAATGCAAATGATGAGGTACAGCTGAAGCATCTGTGACTTGAAGAGTCCTAAAATGAGGAAAAAGTGGGGAAGTCTCTAAAAAAATGTATGTGGTCAGTGTGTGAAAGAATGGCAAATGTCTCAATGAGGTTTCATCATGCAAATAATGAGCAGTTTTAGAAGATTAGAGTCATTGGACTATTTGGGCCAGTTAGTTACTACGGTGAAGTTAAAAGCACCCAGCAAGTTTACAAAAAAAAAAAAAAAAAAAAAAAGTTTTCTTCCTTTTTCCTTCTTCTTCCCCACCCCCAGCCCTATGTGTCCCCATCCTAAGGAAAAACAAGGGGGTGTGGCAGAGTTTCATTAGGCTCCAGCAATTAAATCCTTCAGTGGTAAGGAGGAACCTCAGGGATGTTAATCATAGTTTGAGCTGTCCCTGTAAAACAGAATATTCAGATAGTCTCTGTGCTTTTGCTGCTGCTCTGCACCCAGATCCAGCACAGGAAAAACCACTTTAATTCCTAACAAGCTCCTCCTGATCCTGGGATGGGATCCCCATCCTGGGTGGGTGGCTGTTTTATGCTTCTTAGGAATATGAGATTGGTAAATGAAAGCCCTAATTTAAAGAGAATAAATAAATAAATAAATAAAGGACCAATTTGGCTCCTATACTGCTGAGGCCCATTCCTACTGCTACAAAAAGCCAGCAAAAATTGCAAGATGATCAACATATTCTTCAAGGAGATGCTCAACATTTCTTCCTTGGAAATACTGAATGAAACATTTTAAGGGTAAGGAAAAGAAGCAATCTTCTGAATTTCAGTTTGGTTCTGTCTGCATTTTTTGCTACTACAGACTGTAAAGAATTGGATGCAGCTTTCTATGTGGAACGGTGTGCTGGGCGTGCTGTAATCCAGACACCGGAGCACTCGGCACCTGGGTGGATAAGCTGCATCTCTTGTGCAGGCAGTGACGATCCAGACGCATTTTGTTATTACAGAATGTCAATAACCAACTGTCTTTGCTAACAACAAAAGATTTTATGAACAGTTTTCCCTGAAGCCATTCAGAGCAGCAGCTTTATTTGAGTCAATTCAAATAGTAGTTTTGCTCATGAAACCAGGATTTCAGTCAAGTGTGAGCCTATAACTGTACCAGAGTTGGGGAGGGAGGGCAGGGTTTTTTCTTCTCGCTTGCTACTGCCAGGGCAGTTTCAGATTTTTAGGAAGAGCAAAAGGGAGTACAAAGCAATTAGCAGGAGGAAGATGTAAGATGAAGGAGGAGTTGCCTGTAGGCTRCTTAAGTAATGGCAGCTCCTTGGCACTTAAACTTGCTTAAAAACAACAACAACAGAGACAAAGCTCAAGTTGTTAACCGTCTTGCATGTGTAGAAACTGGTATTGATAAAGGATCTGACCAGTCTGAGCCTGTGCG